CGGTGTAAAATCTTCGACAACTGCGTTTTTAAAGTCAACTAAAAGTTTTTAGGCTTGCCTCGCTAATTTTCAGAAATCCATTATTCTTTGTTTATGAGGCAACAGTAAAAATGTCAAGGGTGAAAGGAAGCCTTTTTCTCACTTGAGTTGCAGGTGCTGCGTTGTGTTATTTCTCTCTCTCTCTCTTTTTTTTTTTTTTTGAACAATGAGCAAAGGGGGAATTCTGTGCACTCTGCTTTCTGATGAGCTGATAAATGTGTATGTTTCCTGAAGATGGAGGATCTTTCACAATCGACACAGCCACCCGCAGCTCCCTGCCCTCCCTCAACTCTTGCGCAAATGAATCATCAAGAATGCAGACTGGTTAATTGTGATGCCTTCTATTGTTTGGGCTTTCTTTCCAAAAAAAAAAAATAATAATGGTGGCAACAATTTCTGCTTGGCTGTGCCGAAACAGGGCGGCGGATCCGGGGCAGCCGACAAAACACACAAATTGCTGTTTTGACGGTCTCCTCGAGCCCTTTTCTTTCCCAAGACAAAGAGGTCCTGCAGGTCCTGCTCCGTAGGTGCTGTGTTGGCGTCACCTGGGAAAAAAAAAAAGCGAGCCGGTGGGGAGTGCGTGTTTCAGAATGAATCCCAGACTCACCCATCACAAAATCCCCTCCGGAAACGAGAGGCTCGCCTTGCCGACCGGCTCGCCCTCCGAAGAGCGGGAGACCCTCGCCAGAGGCTGCGTGCCCATCGCGGGAGGCTGGAAAGGGGAGGCGGAGCGGCGCGCGAGGGGGGAGTTCCAACTGCAGCCGCACTTCGCGGTCTTTTTCACACACGGCTGTTGGATAGCCAGCCTTGCACTGTCAGAAAACCCAGGGGTATGCAGCTGGGCCGTATTTCATGACGCTCTGGGCTGGAAAACAACCAGCCTTGCTCTGTGATGGTGCCCCTCCCCAGCCCCGCGTGGGAGAACTTGCAGCGCGGTGCCTGGAAAAGGCGGTTTTGAAGGCAGCAGAAAGCCACCAGTTCAAATCCTGCATCTTCCACTCATTTGCCCATTGACGTTGAGGCAGATTGCCATCCTCCGAGGCGACTTCCTCTACCACAAAGCGTGGAAGAGGGTCGTGTTTTCCCAACAGAAGTGTCGTGAGCAGTCGATGAAATAATAAAATTGCATGTCTAAAACGCCTGGCACATCAGAGGCATCCGTGCGTTGTATTTATCTTGTTTGGGGAGTTCTGTCCACATGAATACAGACTTCACAAGGCCCTCTGGAAACCCTGTGGGCAACGCAGCTAGGTTCCCCAAAGCCAAAAACAAAGCCGCCAGGATTTGAACTTCCTCCTCCACAGGAACAGAGTTTCAGTTTCATCTCGGGGGGAGCCCCCAACCCCAGCCCTTCAGGACTCCCTGCTCCCAGGAAGCCTTCCCCAAACCTAGAGCCCAAGTCCAAAATAACTAGACAAGATCTTCCTATTTCTTGATCAAGACCCGAATTTTTAGATGTCTATGCGAGAGGCTTCAAGTAGTTCAATAGTAGTCGAGACATCTATTATGTATGGGTCAAAAATGAGGGTTTGACGGTCATTAAGAGGTTACCTATTAAAAACAGATGGCTTCATCAAGGGAAAAACTGCCACTTCCTCTCCAGCTCCAACACTGCCCAACTGCCTTCCTTCAACTGGTTTCATTTTCATCTAATAACCTTAATTGGGCAAGGCCTTCCAGAACTCTGCAAGGAAGCTAATATCCAACCTTCCATCTTGAAGGGAAAGCTAACGCTTCCTGAGCATGACTGTGGGCCAGGCACATGCCCAGTCCCACCTCCTTTGATTCCCAGGACGGTCTGGAAAAAGTGTGTTTTGACGGCATTAAATGCGAAAGTAGAGATCGAGCAATTGACCCAGAGTCCCCCAAGAGCAAGTGGAAAAGCAACCGGCTGACCTGAAAGTCCAAAGCCAAGGACAATTGTGGGGAAAGGAACTTCGTAGTTTTGAAAATAGATGTGAAATTGGAAATAAGCAAATCTCAATAAGCTCCCTTAGAGATCAATCGGTAAGACAGCAGGGCAAGAAGAAGAGAAGCCTTTTACTAAAACACAAGATATATCAAGCACATTCTACCTTCAACCGAAACCCAAGCCCAGGCGGCATGCACCGTCCAGTTTTAGGGGGTGGTCTACACTTGCCAAGAAAAGGCAACCTAAATCCCCACCTGTGACCCTCCCCAATTTTCTCACTTCTCTGGTGTTTTAAAAAGTTGCCACTTTGGGAGAAGATGGAAGGTGGGTGTGACTGTTTCACTCTGAATTTGATAAACTAATTTCTGAAAGCCCATAAGATCATGAGAAGCTAAATTAATGCCTGAGTTGCATTGGCAAAGGCCTGGGTCTTGGACCTCGACCTACGGCACGAAGATAAAGTGATCACACCATGGCGTGTGTTCTGCCAGGTGACCCAAGTCTGTTCTCAGCGGCACGTATGGAGGAAGCAGCCCGGGGAGACTGGCGTGCCCTCAGGGAAGCCAGGGTGCTCGGGCAACTCTCATTCCCAAGAAAACACCTAACGTGTGCAAGAAGTTTCCCGCCCAATCTGCTCCAGGACTTAGAATCGGTGTTTGGGAGAAGAATTGAGAACACTGGCGTGGGGGAGGGGGCAGTGCAGGGGTGTGGGTGGGTTACCTACCGCTCCCTATTTGTTTTCGCAAACCCTCCAGTTCTCTCGTCCTGCCTGAAATGAGGTCAGGAGCGGGGCTAGTGGGACTGGGGATGTGGTCGAGACCTTCTTCAGACCCCTTTGCCATCCAGTCTTCTCTTTCAGACGAGTGACCTTGACGATGATCTGGTCCTCCCAACTTCAGGGGAGTGCCTGGCTCGGGCGGGCAGCCTCGTGCGGGCTCACGCAGCTCCTGACTGGTTCTGCCTTGCTGCGGGTTCAGCTGCGGGTTCCAGAGTTGTGGGCGCTGTCCATTTCATGCCTCCCATTCAACGCTTTCTTTTTGCAGTGTCTGCTACCTATCTTCCTAGCAGATCGCTCCCTCCAACAAAGGTTGGAGGAGTTGGGCAGGATTCCTGTTTCTGCTGGAGGGGCGGGTTGCTGAAAAACCCAAATCACAGTGCAGTGTCTTCAGTCTGAAGGACTTATTCACAGATGGGCAGATAGATAAGAGATAATTTTTTTCAAATATACAGACTATTAAGGTTTTCTTCTATGTATAAATGCAAGTCAAAGTATTTTTCAATACCTGCACACTTGTTGTCATTGAATACAATTAGTTATGTGAATATGTTGGAAGTTTTTTGACATTAAAATGCAGTAATCAAATTATCTAGTTCTCATTCCTAAAGCCTGTGAATGAGGTCTAGCCTTTCTGTGTAACTCCTTATCTTTTTTTAAAAAAAAGGTACTTTTAGCAAAAACGAATTAACACCCACAGTTCTATTCTGGCTATGCAAAGAGGCTTAGGGACAGGAGTTTCTCTTCCCAAGACCTTCAAATCAAATGCAGATTGACCCCACCTTTTATGAAGCCCCCATCTCCCTGGCTCCTCCTGCATTACAAAGTCCTTCCTCTGGGGGAGCCGGTAGTATTGGTTGTTACGGCCTTCTGGTGGCCCTGGATTTCCCGGTCCCTAGCTGCCGTCTGTCCCGGTTAACTTCCCCCTGTACCTAGTTCCTTCTCCCTCCCCACTGTGGAAGACGATTTACTTTCCACGATTTCAGCAGACTTTTGAGGGCGGGGAAGATGTGGTTCCCAGGTTCCTAGATCTAATCTCCCAACTGGGAGAACTTTTCAGTTCTCACACTCAAACAGGAAGGCCACTGCGTTACACCTACTTCGCACATGACTCCCTGCGGGTGAAGCAACACTTACTGCTCAGGGTGGGGGCAGAAGGGAAAGTTTGAAAATAAACTGCACAGAAGTTCCTCTTGCCTGGCAGACTCAAACATCCCAGGCTCACCACACCGCTAATTACGTGATTAATTTCTGCAGACGGCTGTAGGTAAACCACTCTTGGGGTATCCATGCAAGGTGCCCAAGACCTGGCATTAATCTCCCATTTTCTACTAGTTTTTATCCCATTTAAAGTGGAAGTCTCTGGACAGCAAAAATCATGTCACATGAGCCTATCTTCTCTATCCCGAACACAGAACTGGAGAGGATGGTTCCACTAAAAGGTGCCCGCTGAAGAAAATTCGTTGAAATACAACATTGTGCTGTGGCTCAGTGGATTGAGTGTCGGCCTGCAAATCAAAGGGTCACTTGTTTGATTCCCAGTCAGGGCACATGCCTAGGATGCAGGCCATGTCCCCAGTAGGGGGCGCATGAAAAGCAACCACACACTGATGTTTTATCTCCCATCCCCTCTCTAAAAATAAATAAGTATGTCCTGGCTTGTGTAACTCAGTGGATTGAGCACAGACCTACAAACCAAAGAGTCACAGGTTCGATTCCTAGTCAGGGCACATGCCTGGGTTGTGGGCCAAGTGCCCAGTGGGGGAAACACAAGAAGCAACCACACATTGGTGTTTCTCTCCCTTTCTTTCTCCCCCTCTCTCTAAAAAAAAATAAAGTCTTTAAAGAAAACCACATTAAAATATTTTAAAATAAAAACTTTAAATAATAAAAAATAAAATTCAACATTATAGTTATGTCACAAATACTCAGTAGCTTACATAATAAAAAAAATAAACACAGAAAAGAATGGTGATAATTTTTAATGGTTTATAGCTATAGCATCGTTATATGTGTATATATATCTACATGTATAAATATACACAGACCATAAATATCCAAATGGCAAAATACATCCACCACTAGGTACACACACACAAAATCTTTGCAACTATATAAACTAACAGCCAGAATACTGAAGAAAAGTAGATACTGAGGTATTTTCCTTTTAATCTAAAGTGACTATCGCCTATATCAGCAATTTTCAACCAGTGTGCCACAAGAATTTTTAAAACATGTAATACCTTACTATTTAGTCAGGGGCACTGACCTCTTTTCCCTCAGATTGTCAAGTAAAAAAATTACAACAGCCCACACAACAATAGCTGTCCAGTTGAATGACTCAAAAGTATACCTATTTTTTTTGTCAGATCAGCAAAAAATATGTATTTTTGGATGTGCTACAGTCATTAGTCATTTAGTCATTTTGGTCATTAGTTTATGTGAGCCATGAAATGGAAAAGGTTGAAAATCACTGGCCTATATTAAAACATTCTTAACGTAGAAGTTCAAGTAGTTATAAAACACGTCTTTAAAAAATAACAAAAACTTTGTTTCATGACCTGAAACTGTAACTACTAGAAATTTTTAAACTTAACAAAAAATATTTTAATTATAAATAGGTAAAATAAATAAGATTATTCTTGTTGAAATGCAATCATGTTGTAATATATATCTGGGGACTTTCTTTTTAAAAAATGAAATGACTGAAACCCTTCTCTAAATCTACATTTTACTTTAATGCAAATTTTATATATACTCCTTACCCAGAATGAAAATCTCATGTATATATATGGGATCTATCTATTACTCTTTTTTAAAAAAAGTATATCATATACACCTGAAACTAATACAAAATAAAACTGAATGTAAACTGTAAGTAAACATAAACATCTTTTAAAGTGTACCCCAATTATGAAGACGTGCTTAATTTCTCTTAAAAAAACCCAGTTTTTATACAGTACACACTGATGAGTATGAAAAACAGCATTTTACAGATTCTAGAAACTTCTTCAGAAACATTTTCTTAGTTACTTTTGAAGATTTGTTTTACTAAGTTAATTATAGCAGTAAAAAGTCCAATTCACTTTTTTAAATTCACCATGGTTATCCAATATCCCCATGCTTTTTATCTTTTAATATTGAACCTGTGAGAATTTTACTGGCATCAAGTAACACTTTGGTCAAATTTTTTCAAATTACACACTTTCCTATTCAACCCAAAAGGAAAACACTTCATGAAAGGTTATTTGAACAGAAGCAATACATTTTGAGTCAAAAGAAACAAATTACATAATTATTTTACACGTTGTAGTGACCTATCACATCAACATTCACTGTGACAGTCAGTGTTCTCCCATGAAATGTTTACTGTGAACAAGATAATATGTATCAGCCCAATAGTATACATCGTCCTGGAGCTGTCACCCAAAGTAGACAAACACCCAACATACTCCATTTCTTGGCCCCCACCCACACGCCAGTCATTTATGAACTCCTCTTACACTAGGCTGGACATCAACCTTCCCAAAAGTAACAGAACAATTCTCTAAGCAGAAACAAAATCTATAAACAATTCATTCCATATTGTCAATGCTCCTCCATCCTTGCTTTAAAATAAACGAAGCAGTTTTTTTATAATGGTCAGACATCCCAAAGAATGACTTCTGAGACGAATTCTGTCTTCATTTAACAAGGGCATCAGAAAGCAACTGAGAGCTCCTTCGCATTCTTCTCTATAATAAGGCAATCCCTCCTGCAACAGAGGAAATGTGGCGAATCCTGTTTGAAAGAAGTCTCCTCCTTAGAAGGCTTCTGAAGCAGTCAGGTTCCTAGGTGGAAGAGCTTGGATATCAGATTTAGAAGTTTCTGCCGGAAATTCAGTTTGTCTCCAATTCTCCTTAACTGAAGAGCACACTCAACTTCGGCCTCTGAAAAGGAAAACAAAACATCGAAATTAAATTGACAGCATTCCAAACTGTGACCAGCAAGAGTGGCAAGTTGAATATTTATCCCATGAAGCAATTCCCTTATCATTAGCTTATGTACACCTGTTTTCTGAACGTGAGATGGAACACACACAACATAGACGAACCTGTTGTGACTCATAAACAACAACAAAAGTTGAACAAAGAGCCCTGGTCGGTGTGGCTCAATGTACTGAATACCGGTCTGCGAACCAAAGGGTTGCTGGTTCGATTCCCAGCCAGGGCACATGCCTGGGTTGTGGGCCAAGTCCCCGGGTGGAGGGCATATGAGAGGCAACCGACTGTTTCTCTAACACATCGATGTTTCTCTCCCTCTTTTTCTCCCTTCCCTTCCCCTCTTTCTAAAAATAAATAATATACATATTTTTAAAGAGTTGGACGACGACGTAACATTTACTTTGAAACCTTATTTTTAAAACAGCATCTTGGATGAGGCAAATACAAACATTTAAAATGCCCAGCACCACAGTTAGTGAGACATTGTTGGCTTCAGATGACATCATGCTTTCTTTCTCTCACTTAAGGTTGGTGGGAGGAACGGAAGTCAATGCTGAGCTCTCTTCCACTGTTTTGAAGCTGAGTCTGTTTTGTGTGGCAATAATTCACAGCTCAGACTATGCACTCATTAAGAGGTAGATCTAACTGTATTCTTTTCTTGTATTCAACACTGAAATTTTCTCATAAAAGACTCAAACTTGTATTCCAAAAGTAAGTCCACATTCCCTAGAAGTTAAAAGTTTACATTCTCCTCTAAGCCGAATTCTCCCAACAAACCCAACCTCTACCAATGCACTGCCTGCAGGGAGATGAGTGAAACAGAAAGTAAGTAATGTTTGATTCACCTGTTTACTACTTGTTAGAATAGGGATATTGTAATTAACTGAATGTTAATTTAAGAAACATAATCATCTAATTTTCAAATAAATCTTTTAAGTAAGGGAAATTAACATCAAATCTATACTGACAATTTCAGTTTTCTTGGATATTTCAAAGAGCAACTCAGGGTCTTTTGGTCCACTTGAAAAAGATCACAGTTATGAATATTTAAAGTCATTATGACTAAAAATTGAAATCAGGTTTTCTTTATAAACAGACCCTGCAGAGACCCAATTTAGGCTCAAAATAACTAAAAACTGTAAATGTATAATAAAGTGGACTACCATCTCTACAAGAGCTAGGTAAAATTTTCATAATACCTAACAAGAGACCTAATAAATATCATAAGATGCCCTTCATTACAGGCTACAGAGTTAAACATTTTGACAAAGACATAGTTTTCAGTGAGTGGCATGTATTAACATACCATCCTAAAAAAATTGTGATTTTGTATACAACTTTGGAAGCCTTGAATCGTAAGAAAAGTTATTCCTTTCACCAAAAAGAAAGGCAGAAAACAGCTCCTAGGTGTTTCCTGAATCTCTTTGTTACAGTCACCCATCTATAAATGTATTAATAAAGAAATCTGTAATCATGGATGTTTAGTAAACTTTACTGTATACATACATATATTATACTTCACAATATATACATGTATCAAACCATTGTGTTGTACACCTGAAATTAATACAATGCTTTATGTCCCTTATATCTCAACTTATATGAAGTATTAGCTAAACAAGTTTAAGTGGAACCTTCCTTCTTACTGGGAAATTGGATGGGTGAAGGTTATCCACAAGCTTAGACCTTTTCAAAACAGGTCAGAGCTATGGGGCATCACAGAGACGGACCAAGTTTTTTCCCTCCCAAGCAAGGGCCAGGGAAGGCAGCCCACTTAGCCATGTCCATCCCCATTGCCAGTGCGCCGCTTCCTCTGCACGCGGCATGCGCTCTATAAAATGAAAGTATGCTTGGGGCAGGGGGAGGGAGGCGGCTACTACTTGCTGATGTAATAGCAACATGACCGCACATATTTTTAAATCCCAAGCCTTGCTGCCTTCTTTGCTACCGCCCCTGAGCCTTGTTTCATAAGAGTTATAAAGAGACCCAGGTATGGCTCAGTAGGTTGGGTGTCCTCCCGCAAACCGAAAGGCCTCTGGTTGGATTTCCTGAAAGGCTGCTGATTCAATGTTCTAAAAGGTCGCTAGTTCGGGGTGGGTGGAAGGTAACCAGTGATGTATCTCTCCCTCTTTCTCTCCTTCCCTTCCTCTCTCTAAAGTAAAAAAAAAAAAAGAAAGAAAAAAATTAATTTATAAAGAGGGCTGGGGGTGGGGGCTGACCTCAAAAGTCATTTGATGGAGCTATTGGGGGAGGGGGTTGGATGGATTTAAAAAATTGGGAACCAATTCTGTTTCTCCTATTCCCTCTCCGCAACTAATTAAAATATTACATAGCGTAACTTAAAAAAGAAGCAAGACTCTCTGGGCCCCTGAACGCAATGGTCCCCGCGAGGCCCCCACCACCTCCATTGGTTCTTTGTGGATGGGCTGTTGTGACGGCAGAAAGCGTTATCTCGGCTTTTGTTCGCGTTGGGAGTGGAGGGAGAGACAACGCCCGGGGCAGGGCCCTCAAAGTCCAGGACTCCGGAGAAAGAGGACTGTCTTGGGAAGCGCTGGGAGGCCAGGTGGCGCCAAGAGCTTCTCGCGTCCCCACCTGCCTGGAAGAAGACTTTCTCTTCGTGGCTGACGCCCGCACTTGCCATTTTCCTCCCCGTGACCCCCGGGCAGGGCAAGTGGGGATGGAAGGCAGGCGAAGGAGAAGAGGCGTTCGGCATCCGCTAAACCACAGCTGCATCCCAGCCCCACACGGGGATCCCTACCTCGCCGTGCCCACGGTCTTGGGTAAAACCCCTTTAGAACTTCCAGAGGGCGCCCCGAAAGCACGTGCAAGGTCGCAGACCTGGCCGGACCCTGAGGCTCCGAATGGACGGGCTGACCCCGCCCCGACCGAGACCTCCACCCCGGTCCCGGTTCCCGCCCCGGCCAGGATCTCCGCAGGCCCCGTCCGGTCCCTACCTGCCGGGGCCCGCGTAGGGCTCGGCTGCGCGTTCTTACGCGCTTTCTTTCCAGGCATCTCTGGCGGGAACTCGGCTGCAGAACCCCGGAAAACTCAGTCCCCCAACCTTGAGTCTGCAAGAGGCGAGCTGGGAGCGGGGCGGTCAGGCGGGATCGGGATGGAGAAAAGACTTCGTACGCGCCCTAGAACCTCTCCGGTCCGGGAATGGCTAGGGACTCGAAAGCCCGAGCTTTTAACTCGCGGGTGACGAACCGAAACTTGACTCCGAGCCCGCCCCTCTCTCCGCCCCTCGGGCTACCACGGTCGGGCGAGCGCGCGAGAGGGCTGGGCGGGTCGGGGAACCCCGCGCTGCTTTCAGAGACCTGCCGCGGCACGTTCCCGACTGGCTCGCGGGGCGAGACCCTGCTCAGCCCCGAAATTACTTCCTTAACTAACCGGGCTGGGGGAGCAGGGGATCGGGACCGAGAATGCCGTCGCGTAGGCTGCAGTTGCCACTGAGTCCGGGAATCGCGCCAGGAGATTGGGGGCGGGGGGTGGGGGGGATGGGATTTTCATCCTTATCATAAACGCACAATTAGAGACTTCTGTAAACAAACCCCAGAAAGAGCTCGGAAAAAAAAGAGAGTTTTCACACTCACGAGTGTACATAGTTTCGGGGAAGTGAAATGAGAACTTTAATAACAAGAGGAATGATGCCAGAGGCCGTGCTCGTAAATAAAGTACCGATGGAAACTGTTGGGAAGTTAACTACAATTGGAAACCCAGGAGCAAGCAAGCAAACACCGCTTTGATTTGGCCGGGGTGCGCGTCTGTTGTTGTTTTGTTGTTTGGACGGGGGAGAGGGAGGAGCTAGTTCTGGGCCCCTGGTGGGGCGGGACTGGGATTTAAAAAGTAGAGCGTATTCCCACTGGATGTTGCTCTTTCTGGATGCCTAGTAACATTAAAAAAGAACACAGGCCATCATATAGAAAACTTTAAAATGCTTTTGTGGAGGGAAGCATAAGATACCCGGAAAGTTATTTGCAAGAGGTCCGGCTGGCCCTTGAGTAATTAATTTCATTACTGTAAAGGGGAGTGATTCGGTCTAGCGACAGGGAGAGCTGCTTACTGCTCAGGGCTTACTTAAGCAGGCATCTTTTTTCCTGTCCTCCAAACCCCTCTGCAAAGCTGCAGTTCTTAAAAACATCATGGCCACTCTGGACAGGTGCGAACCTGAGGTTTGTAGAGCTGAGGGGCATTGCGCGAGCTCACGCCGGCAGAATGCAGTGTCCGGATCTGAGCCCAGGCGGGTCCGCCTGGCGCGCGGCCTTGCCCGCGGCGGCCTGGCGGTTAGTCACAGGTTCTGAGAAAGCGCGTTCTTAGATTATCCGCGCTGTTTAACGGAGAGGTTGCAAATTGGCCGCTTAGAGCTGTGTGGCTTCCTAGGAGTGTTAGGTGTCGTTGGTTCCCCAGATTGGTCTGTAAAATGTCTTAGGAACATTGGAATTGCTTGACAGCATTTAACGTTGAGACACTGCATTAAAAACCTAGATTTCTGGGGTCCTCCGGAGAACCAGAAGCTGTCGCAAGCCCGGATCCCTTTTCCGAACGTGCCGAGCGGCCTGGAAGTGGTGGCCGCCTCTTCCCTGAGAGCGAAGCCGGGCGGGAGGGGCCACACTCCCTGCTGTGTGTTTTCTCATTTACATTATCTGGCCCCAGTAGGCAGCAGAGCTTGTTTATTTACCTGAAATCATTCAATCAACACAAATGTGCAAGTATTTATTTTGGCTTGCTTCTGCAGAAGTATAGACAACGCTATAAGCCTAGAACAAAACTGCTTTTGAGTGTAAACAACTTAGTTTTGGGTGTGATAAACACTGGGATTAAGTGAATTCAGTTTTTCAGCACGTGGTCCAGGAAGCTCTGTGGAGATTTCACCTCCAAAGCTGTTGCCTGGACCCTGATATCCAAAAACCACTGGGCCCTTTTTTGCAAGGCTCATTTTGACCGACTTAATACTTACGGAACACCACCGTTACCTTCCTTGGTGGATAAATTAGTAAACTCTCTGATCAAACAGAGCATGCTGAAAGGCCATGGATACATTTGACAGCAGAAAAACAAATTATGTCATTGTTTACCTACAGAAGGGTGTGTGGGTCCTGTTCTCTAATATTATCATCACAAAAGGTGGTCGGTCACGTGACCCCTACAAACCTTAGGCAAGTTGTGCCTTTTAGGGATTTGCAAATTCAACCTGGAAAGACAAGGGAGGAGCAAGTGGGGGGAGGTTGGGCCTCAGAGATCGGTCAAAATCACCATTTATGGAGGGCTTTTTGAGACACTGGATTTGAGACAGTTCACAAACTCTCTTTCAGATCTACCATTTTATCAAGGGAATTCAAAGCTGAGTGTGAACAGGTTCTCTTAACTGGACACTTTTCTGGAAAAGTGATTCATCGCTTCATGAGAGCTTGCAAGGAATGTAAACATCTAGGAATATTTTTGGCTACTGGGGTTGACAAAATAAAAACTTATAAAGCACTGGAATCCCCTATTATCTGTTTGGGTTTTTTTTTTAAATAAAAAGGACTGGTGAGGTCAACAATTTTTTAAACTAGTACGAGATATCAGTTTTCATAGAAACCAAGTTCCAAAATTACAGTACAAATTGGGCCATGCCTGTGTTGTCACTTACGGTGTGAAAAAAGTTACTGAAAAACAAAACAGCCAATGTGCTTAGTAACTGAGTAGTCATTCATGCATTTCATGCAGAAATGGGATGTGGCAGGAAGACCAGAAGACTTGAGAGATGAGTGAGAGAATTTAAAGGAAGCCCGGGAAGGTACACGTAGGGCGTAAACCAAAAGGGGACTTGTGTTTTTGTTTTTTGTTTTGTTTTGTGTTATGTTGTTTTTCCTGGAGAGCATGTGGGTTAACGTGACACCAGCCTGATGCATCCATGAGTTAAACCTTTATTTTAAGACGGACACTGGGCTGGGCTCTGGGGAGACAAGTGCTTCCTCCCTGAGGAAGCTGCATCACAGCCTCACAGATTCCGTGTGTGTGCGAGACTACCTTGTTAACACGCACTTTCTGACTCTGGAGATCGGCCTGGTCTCGCGATTCTGCTTCTTAAACAAACTCTGGTAATGCCGATGCCTTTGGCCTACGGACGCCACCTGGAGTAGCAAGGCTAGAGGGTGATGCAGGTAAGTACACAGGCAGGTACAATGAGATGGGCATCAGGGCGGTGCCAGAGAAAGTATGGCAGACTGTGGGAGGGCAAGCAAGCAGGAAAGGGCATCTACATGGAGGCCTTGTGGCGTAAATAGGAGGTGGCCAAGCGATGAGGCCAAAGGGAAAATGGTCCATGCCCAGAGTGAAGAGCCGTGTGGGGTGGAAAAGGGTGAGAGGTGAGTGGGGAGAGAAGCCACCCGAGGAGTGTGGGTGATTTTGTGGGGGCCCCAGGGGAGACCACTGAGGTTTTTAAGCAGGTGGGGGATGTGATCGGACTCTGGAGAGCTCACTCTGGCTGCACTGTGAGGAGATCACCCGAGCTGAGACAGCGTGACGGGTGAAGAGACTGTGAGAATTCGCATTCAAGATGGTAACGTCGGCAAAGTCACTGTCTCCACCGCTGTCTTGTAACAATGCCCATGTTTCCTGACTAGGACAGGACCAGATTGTGTGAGAACAAGACTGGGTGTTTTCAATATAAACATAATCCAATCCCCTGCATTAGTTCCCGAGGGCTGCCACAACAAAGCACCACAGACCGGGTGGTTTGAAACAATGGAAATGCATTCTGGCACCGTCTGGGGGCTGGAAGCCTGGCATCCAGGGCTTGGCAGGGGGGTCTCGCTCTCCCCAGGACTCCAGGAGAGGACCCTCCTTGGCCTGTTCCACGTCTGGTGGTCGCCCGCAGTCCCTGGCAATACTTAGAGATCTGTCCCTCCTGTGCCTGCCTAGGTCTTCCCAAGGCCTTCTCCTCTGTGTGTCTTTGTCCAAACTTCCCTGTTCTTATAAGGACCGCGGTCACTGGATCAGGGTCCTGCCAATCCAGGATGACCTCACTGTAACTTGGTTACATGGGCAGTGACCCTATTTTCAAATAAGGTCACATTCCCAGGTTGGTGTCTGTGGGGAGACAGGGGAGTGGGGCGTTAGGACTTCAACCTGTCTTTCGAGGGACACGATTCAGCCCCTAACATCTGTCTTTATCAGCTGCCTTTTAGAAAAAGTTCTGTGTACACAGTCTTCATCCTACTTGCAATTCGCACAGTTTACAACCGAAAGGCTGTCAGTGAAGCGGACAGGGGATTTAAGCAGCCTGAAAGAAGCTCACACAAGCAGTAAAGATAAGAAATAAGACAACTTCGGAGGCAACAGGTGGAGGACATCTGGCAGCTACAGGAAGCGTGTGTGCCCTGCACGCTCCTCGGTGGTGTCGTTGTGCCAGGAGCCCCCTGCCCTCTGCACCCCACCCAGGCTTGCCACCCGCAGGGTCAAACGAGTTTTCAAGAAATCCTTGGTGGAGCTTGAAAAGAGATTTGGTGTCTATGACTGTGACATATAAGCACATTATGAAGTGTGGAAAACAGAGGAGAAAATAATTCTCATCTCCCGAAGTGTCTACTCTTCCTTTTATCTCCCCTTGTTTGCTGATTGTTTTCCGGTTTATCACAGATCATGGTCTTCGAGCTTGTGGGTGCCTTTTCCCGGCCAGGTTCCAAGACAGAAAGCAGCCGTGTGCGGTTCAACCGGGCCGTGGGGACGTGAGGGTGCTGCCTGGATATTTAAATCAGCTGAAGTATTGATTTTCAACAGGTAAATAAATCCAACTAGTTTAGAGCATTTAATGGGAGAAACTACTAATACATACTCCTGGTTAGAACGTATTTATTATCACACAATCATTTTTAGGTGGTTATTGAATGACTACGAGGAAGGTGACTCAGTCTTATAGGAGAGCAGCAAGCAACAATGTCTGAGTGTCATCCACGTAAATACAGCCTCTGAATCAATTGATGAGATTATCTCAGATGCAGACCTGACCTCAGACTAACAGATCGAAACCATGGAAATACTCATATTAACAGACCCCTAAGATGATGTTGGTACACCAAGGAGATGATGAAAAAGCACTTTAGACGTGATGCCTGACCTCAAGTAGATTTTAGTCTGGTTAAAAACGTAATATATTATGAA